CCCCCCCCCCCCCCCAGGTACAGAAGTACCTCATGGGACTGCAGAAGAACCTCCCCCCGATGGCGGTGCTGGACCGGACCTGGCCCCCTGCACCCTATAAGTTCCTGTCCGACGCCAACCAGGAGCTGAAGGGCATCTTCTACCGCTGGAAGGTGGGGGTGGGATCCACGGGTCCCCATGGCAGTGGGGGTTTGGGAGCACTGCATCACCCGGTCCCCCTGCACTGCCCCATCTCTGCAGTGTAAGAAGTACCGGGAGCAGCTCTCCCCGCAGCAGCGCGCTGTGCTGCAGGACAAGCTGTGTGCCAGCGAGCTGTTCAAGGACAAGAAGGCGTTGTATGCCCAGAGGTGCGGTCACATGGGGGGCTGGGGGGGAAGCATGGGGGTCTCAGCTGATTCCCTCCCCCCCTCCTTCGATCCACAGCCTGCAGCAGCCCTTCCGTGGTGAGTACCTGGGCCTGACGCAGAACCGCAAGTACCAAAAGCTGCAGGCGGTGGCCAAGGATAAGCTGGTGATGGCCGAGGCGGTGCAGAAGGTGAACAGAGCCAACGGGAAGGTGAGCCCCGTCCCATGGGGGGTGTCGGGGGGGGGGGGAGCGCAGGGCTGCTCTCACTGCCCCCCAACCCACAGACGGTGCCACGGCTGCTGCTGCTCACCACTGAGCACCTGGTGCTGGCCGACCCCAAAGCAGCACAGCCCAAAATGGTGCTCAGCCTCAGCGACATCCGCGGAGCCTCCGTCAGCCGCTTCTCCGATGGGCTGCTGGCGCTGCACCTCAAGGAGGTACGGTGCCACATGGAGGGGGGTGTGGGAGGGCAGCGGGGGCTGAGCGGCGCTGACCCCCCACAAAAACCCCACCCCGCCCCACAGACGTCCACTGCTGGGGGTAAAGGCGACCTCCTGCTGGTGAGCCCCCACCTCATCGAGCTCGTCACCCGCCTGCATCAGACCCTGATGGATGCCACCGCGCAGGCGCTGCCGCTGAGCATTGCCGACCAGTATGCGGGGCTGGGGGCGTGGCCTGTGGGGGCGTGGCCTACGTGGGCGTTTCCGGAAGGGGCGTGGTCTGGAAGGGGGCGTGACAGGGTGTGTTGGGAAGGGCGGGGTGGGAATCAGGTTGCTCATTGGGCAGGATGAGGGTGTGGCAGAGGGCGGGGCCAGATTGGAGGCAGCTCATTGGGCAGCAGGAGGGGCGTGGCCAGGCGTTCCCCCAGCCCACCCCCCATCTCCCCCAGGTTCTCCACACGGTTCCCGAAGGGCGACGTGGCCGTCACCGTGGTGGAGTCGGCCAAAGGCAGCAGCGACGTCCCGGTCTGCAAGAAACGCGGCAGCCACAAGATGGAGATCCTGGTTCACTGAGTGGGGGGAGGGGGGGGGGCTGGGGTCCACCACACCCCCCAGCACCACATGGGAACTGCTGCCATCCCATTAAACGTGTTCCAGTGTCCCTGTGTGGGGGCTGTCATGTGGAGGTGCCCCCGTCCACATTGCATACCAGGGTTGGGAGTGGGATGCAGCACAGAGCGCAGCACAGCACAGAGCCCCCCCCCAACCCCCAGCTCTTTCCCTGCCGCCTGATTGCAGCGAGCGCTCGGCTCTGCCGTGATTGGAAAGGCCCCAAATTGCGGCCACTTTTCCCATTAAGTGAGAAAGCGGCGCCTGCATCCAAGCCGCAATTTCTGGGTGGATGGCACTGCGGTCCCCCATTCCCTGCCCCCATCCCCACTCCCCCTGCAAGACCCCCCCTCTGCAGCCCCCAGCTCTGTGCAGATCCCCACACCGCCCAAAGGGACCCCCGTTGCCACCGCTGCAGCGCTGGTCCTGGGAGTCCCCATGCAGCCCCCATCCCCTCCCACCTCCTTTTCTCTCCTGCACACGTCAGGCTCTGGGAGTGGGATTTTGGCTCTAGGACTGGGATTTTTCCCATCCCCACACGTCACCCGCGTTCTCTGGCATAGCTGACAGCTCCCGGTCACGTCAGCAGCTCCCAGGTGGGGCTGTGTCGTGCACGGGCACCATGTGCGGGCAGCGTGCACGTGGGGGGGGCACGTGCGTGTGCAGGGACACCTCGGGCTCGCCCCCCCCTCCCTGAGTCCCCCCCGGGGCTGTATCACCTCCCAGCACGGGGACCCATCGCCCATACATGGAGATGGGCAGCGTCGTAAACAAGCCCGGGGCACTGCTGCGCTTCGTGGCTGCCTCGCACCCGGCACCACACAAGTAGGTGTTATTAATTAATTAGGCCGGCTCTGGCCGGGCTCCGATTTAATTAACATCCCCGGCTTTGCAGATGCTGCCCTGCCCCGGGCGGCGCTGCCACGTGAGCAGCTGCGTTCCTGCTGCCATCCCACGGGGTCTGCAACTCATCCCAGTGCAGCGCTGGGGCTGGGCTCCCCCCACCCATAGACCCTCAGTCTGTGCAGCCGTGGGGCAGGGATGGGTGTGTTCAGAGGGGGCTGAGCTCCACTCTGGGCCTGGGGTCACACACAGGGGGGACAGAGGGGACATGGCCACAGATGGGGCCACGCCTGGGAGCGCTCCTGTGGGCTGCACAGGACTGGGATGGGGCAGGAGGCACAGGGTCTATGAGGTCTGTGTGTTTGTGCACAGATGGATGGGCGTGCACCTCTCAGATGCGTGCATCCCATTCAGGTGTGCATCCCATACACACACACATGATCTCAGCTGAATCCCACAGCACCGTGAACCCCCCTACAGCGTTCCTGCATGGCAGACATGACCACCGGTGTGGCACAGCCGAGACACAGACAGCTCGCACTGCACACACACACACACATACACACTCACCACGAGGCTGTGGCACCACCAGACGTGCATCCCCCCATGCACGGGGCGCAGTGGTGTCCGCGTGCCACCCCAACCCCTGTGTGCCTGCGTGGGCCGTGTGCTGCAGTGCCTGGCGGTGTCACGGTGCCCGCGTGGGCGTGAAGTTGTGGGGTGGGGGTGCCACCCCCCGCGGCCCCCATTGGCGGCTCTCCTCTCGCCCACCCACGCCGTGCCACGGGCAGAGCCCCTTATTTAACTCCGCAGCGGCGGTGGGGCTTCATCTCCATCGGGCTGAGTGCACTGAGAGCCATCGGTGCAGCCACCAGCGAGGTCACAGCCGGCGCTGCATCCCTGCACCCCTCACCACATCCCTGCACCAGGTACTGTGTCCCTGCACCCAGCACCAGGTACCTTGAGGCCTCTGGAGCAACCACTGCCTTTGCTCCTCACCCTACACAGGCTGGGGGGGCTCAGGGATGGGGGCACAGAGGGCTGAAGGCGCTGCTGGGATGTGGGGAGGGCTGGGGGCTCTGGGAGTGGGGCTGTCCATCAGTGCATGCAGCTGTGCATGTGTTGGTGATAATGTGGGGGTGTGAGTGTGCAGGGCTAACCTGTCTGTGGTCTGTGCATGTCCGTGCTCGGTCTCATGCACATTTTCACGTCCCTGCATGGCACAAACTGGGCATTAAGGTCACTGTCAGGTGGTGAGGGTCTCCCAGCTCTGAAGCAGAGCCATGTTCACGCCCCCTGCATCCCCACAACACCACTCCTGCAGCATGCTCCCCACAGGCATCCCTGGGAACACACCCCCCCATAACACACCCCCTATAATGAGTCCCCCCTAACACATTCCCTATAACACATCCCCCATCACACGTCCTCCCAGGTTTTCCCCGTGCCTCCCCCCCACCACCACCCGTGTTGCGGTTCCTGCTCCTCTTGCAGCCGGGTGGGAGCCCCCAGCCCGCACCTCCTGGGTGGGGATTTGCTCCCAAAGCCGCTCGCTGCTCCCCACCCAAGTTCTGCTCCGGGTCCGATACCAACGCTGACGCCCCCTGACCCACAATCTCCGTAGGACGATGCGGAGCCGCGCGCTGCTGGCCGTGCTCGCCCTGGCGCTGCCGCTCGCCCTCTCCGCCCCGCCGGGCTCCGCGCCGCGCTCCCAGGTACGGCCGCACCGTCGGGGCTCGGGGGTGGTGGCACCGCACGGCTCCGCTCACCGCTCCGCTTCCCGCAGAGGGGTCCCGGCCCGGAACCGCTGCCCTGGAGATCCCGGGGCAGCCCGGGGGCCGCCGTCGCCGCTCTTCTGCAGTTACTGCGGGAGGAGGAGAACGGTGAGAGCGGGGCGGGGCGGGGTGCGGGGGGCCGGGAGGCGCTGGGGGGTCTCTCCCGGTCCCCGTGCGCGCCCCGACGGCAGCGCTCAGCGCCCGCTTCTGTCTCCCGCAGGTCCCCCGGCTCCCGCGCCTCCTCAGAAGCGTAAGTGCTGCCCGCCCCGCACCGCGCCCGGCCCCGCAGCGGAACCGAGGCGGGGCCCCGCGGAGAGCACAGCGCGGAGGGGGCCGGGCCGGGCCGGGCGGGCGCTGACGGCGCTCTCTCCGCAGGAGACATGCACGACTTCTTCGTGGGGCTCATGGGGAAACGGGCGGCGGAACCCGGGAGGGCGGCGGGCGGCGGCGGGGGCGCGGCCGAGACGGGACACGCTGAGCACGGCCCCTCCTCCCGCTGCTCCCCAGGACCCCCCCCGGACGGCCTTCGGGTTGCCAGGCCCCCCCGCCCCACGCCGTGAGGAGCGGCCTCGACGGGGCGGACGGGACGCGGCGGAGCCGTCGCGGGAGCCCCGGGGCCGCGCCGAGAGCGGAACGCGCGTGTCCGAACCGCGCTGTACGCGCACCGCACGCATACAGCACCGCACAGCCCGGAGCCGCGCCCGCCTCTGTGTCTGCGCCGGGGTTTGGGGCGAGGGGAGGGGAGGGGAGGAGCGCGCCGCTTATCGCGACCCTCCCCGTATCGCGACCCGGACCGCCCCGCGTTCCCCCCCGCAGTTCCCCTCCGGGCCGCTGCGGCGCTGTGGCCCCGTCGGAGCGGGCGGGCGGCGGAAGGCGGCTCCGGTGGCGGCGGGCGCTCGGAGCGGCGGGCGGAGGGCGGAGGGCGGGGCGGTGCCTTTGTGTGAGCGAGCGGGGATGGTGCGGGGCGCCGGGCGGGTAAGGAGCGGCCGCGAGGGGACGGGACCGACGGCCGCGCCCCCCAAGGGCCCCCCCGGCCCCGACCCCGCGGGGATCGCGGCGGCGCGGCCGTTCTCACGTCCCGGGGCCGTCGGGGCGCGTTGGGGGCGGCCCCCCCCCGCAGAGCCGCGGTTTGTTGGGGGGAGGGGGTGGGGGGAGGTACCTTTACTGACCGCGAGATGCGGACCTCGCTACGAGACCCACGGGAGGAGAGGGGGACGCGGACCGAGGGGGGGGTGGGGTGGCTGGGGCCGCCCCCACGAGCATCCCACGGCCCACGCCACCACCACCCCCCCCCCAAAACCGGCGGCCTCGGGCACGTTTCGTCGGAAGGAGCCTCCGCGGAGCGGCCTCAGCGCAACTTTCACTGCGGGACGGAGTTTGGGAGGGGGTTGGGTGGCTTCCATTGAGCTCCTCAAGCCGGGGGGGCTGGGGGGGGAGTGGGGCTGGAAGCAGTGGGACTGCAGGCTGTTCCTCAGCACTGTGCTGTGGAGCCCATGGGCTGTGCTGGGAGTCGGGGCCAGATCCTGCCCAGGCAGAAGTGATGGGGGCTGCGGGTGGGGGGGGGCATGGATGGGTCCTGATGCAGACAGGAGCGCTCCTGGGGTGGCTGCACAACCAACCTTGGCCCCAAGATGAGCAGTGAGGGCATCTGTGGGGCAACGCTGTTCCTCCTCGCTCTGCCCCAGCTGCATCTGAGAGCTGTGCCCATGGCACAGCAGGTGGAGCGTTGGAGTGATGTCTCCTCATCGAGGTTTTAACTTTTCTTCGTGTTTCCCCCCCAGAGCCCCTTGCCCTGCCACTTGCTGGATGCCGGGCAGCACCTGCTGCCCCCGCAGCTGATGAGGGCGTGAAGGAGCAGCTGAGCAGGAGAGGCCCCCCCAGCTGCTAAGATGGGCATGAGGATCAAACTGCACAGCACCAACCACCCCAACAACCTGCTGAAGGAGCTCAACAAGTGCCGCCTCTCCGAGACCATGTGCGACGTCACCATCCTGGTGGGCTCGCGCTCCTTCGCCGCGCACAAAGCCGTGCTGGCCTGCGCTGCTGGATACTTCCAGAACCTCTTCCTGAACACGGGGCTGGACGCAGCACGCACCTACGTGGTGGACTTCATCACGCCCGCCAACTTTGAGAAGATCCTCAGCTTCGTGTACACCTCGGAGCTCTTCACCGATCTCATCAATGTGGGTGTTATCTATGAGGTGGCGGAGCGGCTGGGCATGGAGGACCTGCTGCGTGCCTGCCACTCCACCTTCCCCGACCTGGAGAGTGCGGCCATCCCCAAGCAGCCCCCCCTGACCTCAGGGGACGCCCGGCCCGGTGCTGTGGGCTGTGCTTCGGAGCAGAGCCCAGCGCTGGGGGACGCCCGGGGGAGTGCAGAGCACTTTGGTGTGGAGCGGGGCTACGTGCTGCACGGGGAGGGAGCGGGCAGCTACAAGGAGGAGGAGAGGAGCGATGGCGGCCAGGCTGTGCCCCTGCTGCAGCCCCCGCTGCCCCCCAAGGACGCAGAGCCGGGGCCGTTTGGTCCTGGTGCTGTCACAGCAGCGCAGCCCGGGTTGGGCAGTGGGAGCATCATGCAGAGCTCCGCGGGCTCCTGCCAGCAGTACAAGGTGCAGAGCAACGGCGACTATGGCAAAGGTGGGTTCTTCACGGCTGATTCATCCCTGGACATCTCCACGGGGAGCAACTCGTGTCCCAGCAACAGCGAGCACTGCAAGGAGCCGGGCTTCGTGCCGATGGACGAGCTGCAGCTGGAAGAGCTGGGTGAGGACGAGCTGCACTTCGAGGATGCCAGCGAGGAGCTGGGGCCGTCAGAAGAAGTGATCGAGCTGAGCGATGACAGCGAGGAGGAGTTGGCCTTCGAGAGCGACGGGCGCGACAGCAGAGCCATGCCCTGCCAGGTCTGCAAGAAGGTGCTGGAGCCCAACATCCAGCTGATCCGGCAGCACGCCCGCGACCACGTGGACCTGCTCACCGGGAACTGCAAGGTGTGCGAAACCCACTTCCAGGACCGCAACTCCAGGGTGACCCACGTGCTGTCCCACATCGGCATCTTCCTCTTCTCCTGCGACATGTGTGAGACCAAGTTCTTCACGCAGTGGCAGCTCACCCTGCACCGCAGGGATGGGGTCTTCGACAACAACGTGGTTGTGCATCCCAGCGACTCTCTGCCTGGCAAGGCGGGCGCCTTCACCGCAGGGTCGGGCGCGGATTTGGCATGCGCTGCATGCGGGAAACCTTTGGCCAAAGATTTCCACACCGTCCGCAACCACCTCCTGGACCACGTCAACCTGAAGAGCCAAACGTGCGGCGTGTGCGACCAGCGGCATCTGAGCCTGTGCAGCCTGCTGTGGCACGCTTTGGCTCACCTGGGCATCGCCGTCTTCTCCTGCTCTGTGTGCGCCAGCAGCTTTGTGGACCGGCAGCTGCTGGAGAAGCACCTGGCCATGCACCAGAGCGCCGAGGAGGCCCTGTTCCGCTGCCACTTCTGCGGGCAGAGCTTCAAGCTGGAGGCAGCGTATCGCTACCACGTCAGCCAGCACAAGTGCAGCAGTGGTGTGGATGCACGTCCCGGCTTCGGCGAGCGGCTGCAGCCGCAGAGCTTGCAGAAGAGGAAACTGCCCGAGGAGTTCTTGAGCGAGGAGCTGGCGCTGCAGAGCCAGCCAGGCAACAGCAAGTACAGCTGCAAGGTGTGCGGGAAGCGCTTTGCCCACACCAGTGAATTCAACTACCACCGGCGCATCCACACCGGGGAGAAGCCGTACCAGTGCAAGGTCTGCCACAAGTTCTTCCGCGGCCGCTCCACCATCAAGTGCCACCTGCGGACGCACTCGGGGGCCCTGATGTACCGCTGCACTGTGTGCGGCCACTACAGCTCCACGCTCAACCTGATGAGCAAGCACATCGGGGTGCACAAGGGCAGCCTGCCCCCCGACTTCACCATCGAGCAGACTTTCATGTACATTATCCATTCCAAAGACGCGGAGAAGAATGCAGACAGCTGATGGGGCGAGGCAGGGCATGGCAGGGAGGAGCTGCAGAAAAGCGTCGTTGGTTTTATTTAACGGTCAGGCGTCGTGGATGGATTCCTCCTTTTTCTTTTTCCTTTTTTTTTTTTTTTTTTTTTTGGCCTTGCTAGGCTTTTTAGACTGTACGAACCAGCAGCACGTAAGCTATGTCACTATTCCCGAGAAGTCTGTCGTGTTTACTTACCTCTGATCCCATTAGAGGCCACCGAGTTTTGTGTTCTTAGCGTTTCTCACTAGGTTTTGAATCTAGATTTTGTTCTGAAACCTCTTCGCCCACTGACTCGGCCGACCCACAGTCAGAGCTGACCCACAAACCGATGCTGCTACGACTTTCTGACCTCAGCAGAGAGGGGCAGAGCTGGAGCGGGACGGTGCCGGGCTGGAAGGAGAAGGAAAGCAAAAAGGAAGGAAGGACCGATGGTTCCAGGCACGGCATGGCTTTGGGTGCAGCTCGGAGGTCGCAGTGCTGCATCACCAGCGGTGTTTACACTGGGAAGGATGGGACCGCCCCATTCCCACATTATCCCACTGTGGGGTAGAGGTGGAGAGGAACAAATGTCCCGGACACGGCAGCGTGAATCGGGGCTGCCCTCCAGTAACTCGTACTACCTCACAAACAGGAAGCGCCTTCGAGCCGCCGTGGGTTGCGCTTCTGCACAGAGAACACTGATATGGAACGGATCGAGCGGCCCGGCGCCGTGAGCTGGGAATTCGGGGGTGCTCCCCCCCGCTCCGCTGTGGCCTTGGGCAAGTCACTTCACCTCTTTGCCTCAGTTTCCTCATCTGTAAAATGAGGGTGGTGACCCTCGTGGTGCCAACCTACCTCCCTGGAGCGCGCTGAAGAGCACCAGCTCACGCTGCGCCGTTACCGGAGCATGGAGGGGATGCGTCCCCGTCCTCCCCCCATCCCACCACTCCGTTGTTTTGCTCCCATTGTGGCCGTCCTGCTGACAGTAGATCCTCCAGTCCCATCCCGGTGCTGCGGAAGGAGCCGGTGGTGATGCATGCAGTGCTGCTCCCTGAAGGACTACCCGCTGCTGGGATGGATTCTGGGGGGGGACCGCCTCATCCCCAAAGCCTCGAGGCCCCCCCGGAGCTGCGGGCACCCCGCATCCGGCCAAGCTGTGAAGCAAAAGCCTTTTGTGCACATAAACCAAAAAGAGAAGTTTTACACTGAAACGCTATGGGGCAGAGCAACCCCACCCCCCACCCCCACCACTGAGCGTGGGGACAGAGCCCTCCCTGCTGGCTGCTTTGGGGCACGGGGGGGCTGTGGAGCACTCACACCCCCAATGTCTCTGTGTTGAATCCTTCCCTGTGAATTATTCCATGTGGAAACGCGATGGGAGGGAGCTCTGCTCTGCTCTGCTCCCCCAGTGGCACTGGTTCTGGGGGGGCAGCCCCGTGTGCCCTCCCCTCCCCCCCCGCAGCGCACCCTGAAGGATCTCCATCAAGGAACAAAGCAGAAAGAAGAGCGGAACGCGTTGCTGTCTAACCTCCTCGTTAAGTTAATCGTAGGTACTGACCTCCTGATATTTAAGTGTTTACTATCTATTTGCTGTAAAGTTTTGTATATTTTGTAAACTTCCTCCCCCTCCCCCCCCAGATCGTAGATGTCTAAAATCGTTGTACATCAGGTTCTTTTATACTCCATTGTTCAGCACAAAGTGTGGTTTTTTATTTAGAATAATAAAAACGGAAAACGTTGACCTCTCGTGCTGCATTTCTTTATTAAAAAGATTCTTTATGAGACAGGAGTGGGGGCCGGGGGGCAGCTCAGCACAGGGAGTGGCTGGAGGGGGCACAGGTGTGTTAGATTTCCCCAAAGTGGGCTGAATCAGTAAAATATAGCAACATGCATGTGTGTGGAATTGGAATACGTTGCTGCGTGGCTGTGTCATGTGCCTGCTGGCTTTGCTGTTGTGTGCTCAACTTCATTCCTGCAATGGAAATGAGTTGGGGGACTGCTCCAGCCCTGGGGTGCAATGGGAGAGCAGTGGGTGCAGCAGGGGGGGTGGGGGGGGCTGCTCCTGCTGCTCTGTGCCAGGGGTTCAATGAGCTCTGCTCAGTGTGCGGGGACTCCCACGGCACATCCTGCCCTGTGCTCCACGGGGCATTGAGCATCCTGTCCCTGGATCCGGTCCGATTTGCTTATGCTTCACTTTTTTGGGCAGCTCAAGGCCTTCAGATGGATGAATTCCCTCCGGTGGCACTTTCACCTTCCCCTGCCCAGGGCCCAACCCACACACGGCACGTGACTGAGCAGAAGCGCAGCTGGGAGAGACTTTGGATGCTCCGACTTCTTGCCCATGGGGGTCCAGTGCTGCTAAATGCAGATGGGACCCCCAGCTCTCACCCCAGAGCTGTCTTAAGGATGAAGACCGCTGCACTGGGTCCAAGGTGTTGCATTGTAAAGCTGTGCTGAGCGGTTCCTCCCCGCTGCAGTTCAATGCTGTGCTGTGTCAGCACCCCGCACTGCAGCTCCTTCGTTTGAGCGATGCCAGACTCTGTGCTGGGTGCTGTGTTAAAGCACTGGATTTTGTCCCCATCCTGCTCAAATGGTGTTGGAGTGAGAGGGCAGCACTCATCCCACAGTGGGGTTCAGGTGTGAGCTGAGGGCTGCAGAGTGCGTGGGGCTGCGTGGGGTCAGGGCACACCGAGCAACGCATCCATTGCTACAAGCATTTCCCTAGGAAAGCGGAACAGCTCTCTTTCTCTTGTTCTTACTTTGGCTAAATAGGTCTGATAGTGCTCAGAGGTGACACATCCACTCCTCCTGTTGGGCACATTGCCCTCACCTTCAGAGCGCGGTGGGCGGCTGACCAGAAAGCAAAACGCCCACTGGACAGCGTGCCCATGGGGAGCTGCCCGGCCCCGCGCCCACCTCGGGTGGGTTCCCCACTCCCTTTTAGCTGGGTGCACCGCCATCCTTGGCGATGACAACAGAGTGCTGTGTGGAGGAGGAGGAGCCCTCTGCACCCTTCTGCCCGGCTGCATCCTTGGGAACGTACCTGACCACGGCCGAGATGAGTTTGCTGCGGAAGCTCTTGCTGAGGAAGTTGTAGAGGATGGGGTTGAGGACACAGTGCAGCAGCGTGAGGCAGTCGATGATGTCGTAGAAGAAGTAGAGGAAGTGGGCGAAGGAGCAGTGCAGGACGATGTGGGTGCCGTCGAGGGTGAGCAGCGTGAGCAGGACGTGGAAAGGCAGCCAGCTGAGCAGGAAGGCTGCAATGTAGGTGTAGATGAGCAGGCAGTGCTTCCCCCCCTCTGGCTTGGAGCGCCGGACGAGCCGCGCCGTCAGCACGTTGAACACTGCAATGATGGGGAACGGGATGAGGAACCCCACGGCGGTGGTGGCCAAGCTGACCGCCAGTGCCCACTCATCGTAGGTCTCAAAGGGAGCCATGAAGATGCAGATGGGGTCCCCGGTGTTCACCAGCTGCATGTGGGACACCTCCACGAAGGGGATGGCTGCTGCCAGGACCCAGACACAGGCACAGATGACGCGGCGCACACGGTGCTGGTGCCGGTGCCAGAAGGGCGAGGAGCCGCGCAGCGAGACGTAGCGGTCCACGCTCAGGCAGGTGAGGAGGAAGATGCTGGCAAACATGTTGGCAAAGTAGAAGTAATGTGTGAAGCGGCAGAGGAAGCTGCCCCAGAGCCAGGTGTAGTCCAGCATCACCTCCAGCATCCAGACAGGCAGCGAGAGCAGCACGCCCAGGTCGGCGATGGCCATGTGCAGCACGTAGAGGTTCAGCAGGCTCCGGCTGCCGCGTGTCTGCCAGTTCACCCAGACCACCAGGAGGTTTTCCACCAGCCCCACCACGAAGATGGCGAGGTAGAGCACGAAGACGGCCACGCGCTTGGCGTTCTCATCCAGGCTGAACTCGCAGGCGCTGTAGCTGTAGTTGAGGAGATGGAGCAGCTCCGACAGGTTGTGGTACTCGCCGTACTCGCTGGGGGCGGTGGGTGTCTCGCTGGGGGCTGCCGTCGCCTCGGCCATGATGGAAGCTGCAGGGAAATGGAAAGCGATGAACCGTGGTGCTGAGAGCCCCCCCGGGTGATAAACCTTGGAGACCCCCATGGGTCACACCTCTCTACGGCTTTCTGCCTAACCCTAATGATGGCCAACTGCAGCACCGGGGCGTGGGACACAGATCCAGCTGGGGGTGTCAAACTGCTCACCAGGTTCTGCTTTACATCCCTCTGCCTTTTTGCCCTGAGGGATGTTACCGAAACCCCTCAGGCCCCTCCAGAAACAGCAGTTCTTATTTATGAGGGGAGTGGCTGCGGGGTGCAGCCTTCGTTTGGCCACAGGAAAAGATCAAAATGAATCAGGCAGAAAATCTGAGCAGCACAGCTGGGAAACAGGTGAAAACCAGCGGGTCTCTGCTGGCACAGCTCAGCTCTCTGAGCTTCTGAGGCTCTTTTTAATCCTACGGGATTTTCTTCCAGCGTGCCAATTCCCACATCATCCCTTTAAAAGATCCCTCAGCAGATCCCAGCGCGGATCCCAACACGGCCCCAGCCCTGCGCGCACGGAGGACCCGACCCCGGGGCTGCCGACGGTACGGCCGCGCCGCACAGCACCGCACGGCACCGCACAGCACCGCAGGTCCCGGCAGCTGTGTCCAAAGCCCTGGGGCTGCGCTGCACTCTCCGCCCGCAGTGGCAGTGGGATCTCTGGGTGCGCGGACGCGGCTCACCGGGGTGCGCGATGCGATCCTCGCGGCGTGGCTGCGGGAGCTGCTCTGGGCTTGCGGGGCTGCGCTCCGGGCTCCCACCCCGCAGGAAATGAGCGCGGCAGCCCCGTATCCTGAGGCGGCCCCGGGACGCGGTGTGTGCCCGAGGGCGGTGCGTTAGGGCAAGGGGGGGGGACGAGGACAGGTGCTGCCCTCAGTGCTGGGGGGTCCGCAGCGCATCCATCGCCGTCCCATGAGGGATGTGGGGGCACGGAGCCACGGGCGAGCTGGCCGGTGCGGGCGTGGGGAATGGATCCCCGGAGCTGTGAGTCCGTGGGAATAGGGTGGGCTGAGGGGAACGCGCTGTGCCCGTCCCTGCGGCGATGCGCGGGGACCCTCGGGTTCTTTGTTGGGGAAAGATGACAAAAGCAGCACAGTGCGGTGCTGCGCGGCTCAGCACGGCACGGCACGGCACAGTCCAGCATGGCACAGCATGGCACAGAGCGGCACAGAGTGGCACAGGACGGCATCGGCACGGTGCAGCGTGGCACAGCAGTGTGGCACAGCACGGCACTGAGGGGTCGGGGCATCGCAACCCCCCGGGTGCTGTCTCAGCGGTCGGAATGCAGCACGCATCCATCCCCACAGCAGCTCCTATGCCCGGCAGCAATTAATCAGCGGACAACAGCGGAGCAGCGCGCAGGGGAAGCGAGGGGGCTCAGCCTTGCCCCGCGTTGGGGAGGGGGCTGATAGGCAGAGCGTTTTTGCCTCGGGCTGCAAGTCCTGCAGAACAATTGCAGGAAATCTCCCTTACAAGTGCAGACAAGACATCGTGACCAACAATCGCTCGGAAGGAAGGCACGGAGGGAACAGGGAAGCGCGTGCACTGATAAGTGGGCGCTCTCTCAACAACGGGAGGGCGGCCAAAGACCAAGCAGGTACCGACCCACGGGATTCGCTGTTTGCAAAAAGGAACCGGGCACCGCTTTGCCCCACGCCGGGGGTGCCACGGGTTGGCATCGCCCTCCTGAAAGCGATGCACGCGGTCCGGCTGGGGCGGATGCGCTGCGTGCTGGGAAGCTCCCGGCGTTGGCATTTTGCTTCTCGGGGGCTCAGGGAAGGAGCAGCTCAGAGCTCCGTTGGTGGTGGCAGAGCAGAAGGGCTGCGCGATGTGGGTGACCCCACCTAGGACCTGGAGGGGGGCTGGGGTGGCTCCGCCGAACTCCGCTCCTCTGAGCTCTGCTCTTCAGCACCGAATCGAGATGCTCAGAGAACACCGCACCGAACGCATCGCCTCAGCGTGCTGAGCCCCCCCCCTTCACCCCCCCTTTCCCCCAGGGCCCCATTTGTTTGGAGATTGATGGGATAAGGGGCCCCTTCCTCTCCGGAAGGGCCGTGCTCAGAGGCCCCGGGTTGGGGTGGAGGGGCCCCAGGGAGCTCAGCGTTGGGGGGGGGGGAGGCAGAGAGGCAAAAAACCCACGGGAGCTTCTACCCCAAGGAGCTGAATTTGCAGCCACCATTCCCTCGGCTTTTGCTGTTGGCAGCGCTGCTACGAGTCCAATGCCCTCCCCACGCAGCCCCCCCCCCCCCCCCCGCACTCTGCAGCCTCCCCCCCCCCAGGGACACGCAGGGACAACGATGCTGCTGGGACGCTGCACCCACCAAACCTACAGAAACGCTCTGCTTCGCACGAGGGCTCCTCGCAACCCGCACCCCGCATCGCCTCGCGTCGCCCCGCATCGCCCCGCATCACCCCGGTCCTGCACGAGCTCAGCCCCCGCACGTGTCAGCGGGAGAAGGGACGCGGGTGGGCGGCGTGGGGCTGTGCTGATCGCTGCTCAGTCCTGCAAGCAATTGCACAGCCTCGGGGGCCCATCTCCCAAATCGTCATCATTAATTATCCCTTAATTAGAGGTATGAAGGGTGCGTGAGTCAGCGCCCACACATCTGATGTGCCGAAGCACAGCAGCACCAATCGCTGCCAGCGGACATCGAGGGCGCAGAAGGGGGGCAAATGGAGCTCTGCAGCCCAGCCGGGAAGGGAGGGATCCTGGGGAGGGGGCTTTCCTCTCCTGCGCTGAAGATGCAGCGGAGGATGGAGCTGATTGCAGCCCCCGGCAGCTGCGGGAGGTGGGAGCTGGGCAGAAAGCGCCCAACGCCCGAGGATGGCAAATTGAGGGAGGGGTGGGGAGGAGGGTGATGCTGTGTTAGGGGTGAGCTGCCGGAGGGGCTCTGGCACGGCTGGAGCAACGCAGCGGGGCTTTGTGCCCCTCTGCCCGCAGCCCCAGTGCAGGGCGAGCTGTGAGCTCAGAGGCACAAGGGCTGCTCCTGTAAAAGGAAAAAACGCATTTAATGAGGTCCTGCACCCGCAGGAGCCCAGTGTGCAGCACGGAGCGGGCACAGGGATGTGCTCAGGGTGTCCCGCAGTCCGGTTTTGGCATCAGGAAGGCGACGAAGGCATCGCAGAGCCACGTCGGGCAGTAGCTGAGAGGCAGCAGGAAGACCAGCGCGTCCCAGCCGGCGGCGTAACGGCTGCGGGGACTGCGGGACAGCAGCGCGTGCTGCATGCGGGCGGTGACGCGGGACAGGCGGGGGCTGCTCAGGCGGTGCAGGAGGACGCTGCGGCGGGCGTCTGTAGGGCGGGGGGGGGGGGGGGGGGGGGGGGGGGGGGGGGGGGGGGGGGGGGGGGGGGGGGGGGGGGGGGGGGGAGGTACTAACAGGTCTCCAGGTAGCGGCGGCCGTAGGATGCCCGGGTCTCCGCCGGGAGCAGTGCCCAGAGGCGCTGCAGTTCCTTTGCTGCCGCTTTGGGGTCGGTCATCCCAGTTCGGAATCCACCGGGTTCGATGATGGAGACCTTCACCCCAAAGGGTCGCATCTCACGCCTGAATGGGGATGGAGACCATCACTGTCATCACTGTCACTGCCCCAGGATGGGACCAGCACTGCCACCCCAGAGATGGTGCTATTCCAACCCTTTGCACATCTTTGCACAACCGCTGGCTCCCACCCGCCTAATTCCCAACCCACATGGACACCTTTCACAATCCCTCCCCACCGCTCAGTGCCTTTCCCTTCTATTGGGACAGGAGTTGCTGAGGGGGGAATGGCGAAAACAGGACAGAGGCAAACCAGCACTGCTCTGCTGCTGCCTCTGAGAAGGACGCAGCCGGGCTGTGCTGTACCTGAGGCTGTCGGAGAAGGCCTCCACGCCGAACTTGGAGGGGCAGTACCCCCCCCCGAAGATGGAGAGCCGGCCCATTATGCTGGCCACGTTGACCACGCGGCCCCGCGCCCGCTTCACCAGCGGCAGGAGGCTGAGGGTCACCTCGATCAGCCCCACCAGGTTGACGTTCAGCACTGCCACAAAGTCTTCCTTCCTCAGCCACTCGTTGGGGGCGGTGGGGATGGCGATGCCGGCGTTGTTCACCAGCCCCCACAGCCCTGCAACAGGGACGGGGTGAGTCGTGACCCCCACCGCGCCCCTTCCCCACCTGGCCCCCCTCCTACCTCTCTGCCCCACGCGCT